AGCAAAAAAGTAACTGTGTCAACTCCCATTTTGTATTTGAGTCCCCATAATTTAATACCGCATCTCTCTCTGACACCCTAGCATTTACTTCTTTTACGACCCCATCTATAAATATGTTAATCAGCCATGGTGACATTACACATCCCTGTCTAAGGCCTACTTTTACTGGAAAGTAATCTCTCTTCTGCTACACACCCTAATCTGAGCCTCACTATCCTCATTAAAACTCTTAACAGCATTTAGTATCTTACTACCTATGCCATACACTTGCAAAATCTGCCATATTGCTCCCCTATCTACCCTATCATGAGCCTTTTCTAAATCCTTAAATGCAATGAAAACTTCCCTACCTTTATATAAATATTGTTCACTTGTATGCTTCAATGTAAACACTTGATCTACACATCTCCTACCATTTCTAAATTTATTAACACTTTTTAATATCTCTGTCCCATCTTTAACTCATTTTGGAAATTCATTTGCATCAAGAATAAGCCATTAGTTATTGAAGATCCAGTAACTTGGATTTGCATTCAAGAATGATGGTGACTGCATCTAATGATCTTTAATACTAATTTATATATTAACTGAATAAACAGCAGACTAGACATTATACATTAGTGCTTCTTGTAAATATTAAGGTGGCAGCTGGACAGTTATTGGCACAAAATCATAGATTTGGCAGTTAATGGAAAATATTCATTGCAACTCAGAAAACAGGTAGAGCTTGAACCCATGGCAAGCAGATTCTAAAACTCAAGAGGCTCCTCACGTTCTGTGATTTCTTCACAATCATTTTATTACAATTTTGTGTCATATCCATTGCAAATCTACATTATGGAAAACAACCTTGCTTTTCTACTTTTACTAAGGTTCTGTGTACATCAGGAGAAAACTACTCGGAGAATAATTTTTAAATTCAACTCTACTCTTGATGATGAATATAATGCTTCTGCATCATTCATGAATTAACTTGAAATGTCTTGTAATACAGTAAATTTATTTCCAAATAAATTTCATGCAAGTGTGCTCAAATTAAATTCATTTGATTATTTAGGCATAAAAATACTTAATGAAATTTGGCATTGACTTTTTTGTTTCTTTGGCAGTGATCTTGGTCATTCTGCAAGTCTGACAGGTGGCGATGAAAACAGTGTTAGCATAGGAGGGAGCAGTGCCGGCCTCAGTACTGTGGGAGAGCGCTCCTTCCTTATACTGAATGACTCTGGTGATTCTCAATGTCAGGTGGAGGTGGAAGTGTTGCAGGAGGACTCTACATCAATACTGGAGGGCATTCCAATCTCCCCATCAGATAACCTTGTTACTCAGGTAGGCTATGACTGTGACTCGAGTAATCAAAAACTCTTAGTCAGGTAGGCCCTAACTAAGTTTAGTATATGTACTTGGTATTAGTAATTGTATTATTAACCACTCATTAGTTACTGTAGTTGTATAGGGATAGCAGGATTGCAGACAAATATGGTAAGGGGATACTGTTAACAAGTAAATCTTCAAGACACCTTTCACTAAAACAGGAGCTTTAATCAAATCAGTACATAATATATGAGATGTCATTATTTGCATATGTGAGCATGATCAGGTAATGAATGATGGACTTGTGATGTTGTCAGGAATAAGATGTTGTATTGCATATGACATTTAAAGACAAAATATTGCCTTTAAATACAGGTTTACAGGGTTTAACAAATAATGTTTCTTACTATGTATTACTGTAGTAGTCATTGAAATTGTGGGTGAGGTGTTGGCTGTAGTGGTGGTTAAAGTTACTCTGGCAATATTAGGAAAGAGAAAGTTTGTGAATCAGGATTTGATTTGAAAGAGGGGAAGGTACCTAGGGATTGGCAGTGTGTGTGTATAGTTCCTTTATAAAAAGGGAAGGAGAATAAAAGAGATTGTAAAAATTATAGGGAAATAAGTTCATTGAGTATACCAGGTAAAGTGTATGGTAGGGTTATTATTGAAAGAATTAGAGGTAAGACAGAGAGCAGGATTGCAGATGAACAAGGAGGCTTTAGAATGGGTAGATGCATAGATAAAATGTTTACATTGTAACATATATGTGAACAGTATTTAGATAAAGGTAGGGAAGTTTTCATTGTTTTTATGTATTTAGAAAAGGCATATGATAGGATGGATAGGGGAGCAATGTGGCAGATGTTGCAAGTGTATGGAACAGGTGGTAAGTTACTTAAATGCTGTAAAGAGTTTTTATGAGGATAGTGATGCTCAGGTTAGGGTGTGTAGGAGAGAGGGAAATTACTACCTAGTAAAAGTAGGTCTTAAACAGGGATGTGTAATGTCACCATGGTTGTTTAACATATTTATAGATGAGGTTGTAAAAGAAGTAAATGCTAGGGTGTTTGAGAGAGGGGTGAGATTAAATTATTGGGAATCAAATACAAAATGGGAGTTGACACAGTTACTTTTTTGCTGATGATGCTGTGCTTTAGGGAGATTCTAAAGAAAAGTTGTAAAGGTTAGTGGACATGTTTAGGAGGTGTGTAAAGGTAGAAAGCTGAAAGTGAACATAGATAAAAGTAAGGTGATGAGGGTATAAAATGATTTAGTTAAAGAAATATTGGGTATCACATTGGAGGGAGGGAGTATGGAAGAAGTGAATGTGTTCAGATATTTGGGAGTTGACTTGTCAGCAGATGGGTTTATGAAGGATGAGGTTAACCATAGGATTGATGAAGGAAAAAGGTGAGTGATGCATTGGGGTATCTGTGGAGACAAAGTACATTATCCATGGAGGCAAAGAAAGGAATATACAAGAGTATAGTGGTACCAACACTCTTATATGGGTGTGAAGCATGGGTTGTAAATTCTGCAACAAGGAGGAGCTTAGAGGCAGTGAAGATGTCGTATCTAAGGGCAATGTGTGGTGTAAATATTATGCAGAGAATTCGTAGTGCAGAAATTAGGAGGAGGTGTGGAGTTACTAAAAGTATTATCCAGAGGGCTGAAGAGGGGTTTCTGAAGTGGTTTGTTCATTTAGAGAGAATGGAACAAAGTAGAATGACTTGGAGAACATATACAGTGGACCCCCGCATAGCGAACTTAATCCGTGCAAGAGGGCTGGTCGTTATGCGAAATGTTCGCTATGCGAATTAATTTTCCCCATAAGAAATAATGGAAATAAAATTAATCCGTGCAAGACACCCAAAAGTATGAAAAAAAAAATTTTTTACCACAAAAAAATGTTAATTTTAGTACACACAAACTGAAAAAGGCATGCACAATTACATGACACTTACTTTTATTGAAGATCTGGTGATGATTGATGGGATGGGAGGAGGGGAGAGCATTATCTTCTTACTGTTTAGAAGGGGAATCCCCTTCCATTAGGACTTGAGGTAGCAAGTCCTTTTCTGGGGTTACTTCCCTTCTTCTTTTAATGCCACTAGGACCAGCTTGAGAGTCACTGGACCTCTGTCGCACAACAAATCTGTCCATAGAGCTCTGTACCTCCCGTTCCTTCAAGACTTTCCTAAAATGGGCCATAACATTGTCATTGAAATAGTCACCAGCACGGCTTGCAACAGCTGTGTCAGGGTGATTTTCATCCATAAAGGTTTGCAGTTCAACCCACTGTGCACACATTTCCTTAATTTTTGAAGTAGGCACAATGGATTCCACAACTGGCATAGGCTTCTCAGGGTTAGCCCCAAACCCTTCAAAATCTTTCTTAATTTTCCATACTAATTCTCACCCTTTTTACCACAGGGTTGGCACTAGAAGCTTTCTTGGGCCCATGGTCACTTATTTTCCAGAAACAGCACCGAAAACACTGTAATAATACGAAATATTCCGAGTGTATGCTTGAATGTTACCGGGGAGGCTAGCTGGTAAACAATGGGACGGGCGGCACATGTGAGGCTGGCTGAGGGCCCACATTGGACGCGTCTCGGACGAAGTTCGCTGAGCGGGTTTTTGTCTACTATGCGGGGCAAAATTTCAGCGAACAAAGCGTTCGCTATGCGGATTGTTCGCTATGCAAGGCGTTCGCTATGCGGGGGTCCACTGTAAATCTGTAGGAAAGGTTGGAGGGAGGGGGTAAGGGAGGTTTTGTGGGAGAGGGGCTTGGACTTCAGCAAGCTTGCTTGAGTGTGCTAGATAGCAGTAAATGGAGACGAATGGTTTTTGGGATCTGATGAGCTGTCGGAGTTTGAACAGGTTAATATTTTGTGAAGGGATTCAAGGAAACTGGTTAGCCGGACTTGAGTCCTGGAGGTGGGAATTACAATACACGAACTTTAAATGAATGATATTGGCTATTTGGAGTGACTTCTCAACTGTTGTATCTGAGTGCCTCTGCAAAGACGGTGATTATGTATGAATGATGGTGAAAGTGTTGAATGATGATGAAAGTTTTTTCTTATTGGGTTTTTCTTTCTTTTTGGGTCACCCTGATGTAGTATGTACATCAGTTGGTTTTGTTCACCCATGGAAAAAGAAAAGGGAGTGTGTGTTCACTCTCTCAAATTTGTTTAACTTAATGTATTTTGCTGCTCTTTTTTTTTCTCTCTTCATTTTCTTTTCCTTTAATTTTTTCCCACATACCATTTATCCTTGCCATCCAATTATTTAGTTTCTTAATACCGTTCCTCCAAGTGGCAAGCAAGTGCCTCACTTCAAGGACAGCCAGGTGAGCATGTGAAATTCCTCTCCAGGTGTTTCAAGTGGTGCATTAATATTATCAAATTCTGTGGTAAATACTTGATGGAGAAAACTCACTGTCTATTTGCTTGTAATTGTGGTAAAGCAGGAATATATATGTAATAAAGTTGGTAGAATTACCGACAATATGTAATGGCTTGATAAAGCTCCTGGAGAGCGAAACGTTGCCACAATAAATGTCACATTAGTTGCACTTGTGTCCTTTTACTTTACAGGAATATATATAGTGAAAATGAATATCTTTTATTGTGCTATTTAAGACAATATTTCGTGCGAACTGGAATATTTTTCTTTGGTCTCTTGAGGCAAAAATATATTATGTGAACTTGAATATTTTACACTGTGTTCTATTGTTGATATATTTCACAAAGTATAACATAACTTTTTCAAAAGATTGTAATTGATGTGGACTCAAGCTAGAAATTTTGCTGGGTTGCCTTTTTTGGCACTACAATTAATGTAAAACCAGAATGGTCATTTTTTTTTCTTTTTATTTACAAAATCTTTAATAAACAGGAGGATATTGAAGGGAAATTGGAGATTCAGCTGAGAACTCCAGAGGGCATTCATCTACGAACTTCAGATGGAGGAACTATCTCTGTCCATCAGATTCCTGACAACCTGCCAGTAACAGGTATAAAGCGAAGACAAGAGGATTCAGTGGTCCAGGCCAGCTCAGCTCTCCTCACCCTTCAAGAGAGTGCTATTAAAAAGGCAAGTAAAAAACTAAACAATTTTGATAAAGAATTATAGAATTCTTATTTACATGTATTTCAATAGAGTTATGTACATAGTGTCTCTTATATAATGAATTTATAATTTGTTTTCAGTGGTTGAAGTAGACACTAACTTCCCTTAATTAATAGTTCCCTCTGGGTACATTTATTTTATTTATTTTTTTTATTTTAATGAGGAGGAATTGTTAAAGTCATAGGAGTCATAAAGCACCTGGGAAATGGGAGGCATTCATGTTTGATCTAAGGAAAAGAAGAATAAGTCAAGTTCCTTAGATCAAGAGCTTGCATCTAGGCACCTCCATTGAGGGACCTTTTAGGTACAGTCGACCCTACTTAACAAACGTTTGCAGAATATAATTTCAAATACAGTGGAACCTCTACTTGCAAGCGTGTCCACGTGCGAGTTTTTCCAAATATGAGCAGTCGATGGGTCGATTTTTTGCTTCATACGCGAGCAAAATTTCCACAAGCGAGCAGACCTCAAGGCAGGTTCCTTGACACTGGTGAGGGGCTCTTGCTCTTGATCTCGGGAATTGTATCTCATTTGTTTGTTGGACTATCTTATTGAAACTTAATGTACACCAAAAATGAAAGAAATCTAAGCATAATGTACACCAAAAATGAAAGAAATCTAAGCATAAATAATGGAGTTCACTTCTCAGCAATTAGCCACCCCTTAGTGGTAATTTCGAATGGTTTTTATGGTTGTATTCTCGTTTTTTTGGTCTCATTTGATAGAATGGAAGATAAATTACAGAAATAGATATGATTTTGATTGCTTTCACGACGAAAAGTGCCTTGAAATTGAGTTCAACCTAGGAGAAATGGTCCATGCAGTCGTGAATGGGTTGACATACATATATACAATTATTGCAATAAGGAATAACAGTAAATCTTATATTTTTTGTGTGAAAAAAATTGCAAATAATTTATATAATAATAATAATAATAATAATAATAGTATAATACAATAATAATAATAATAATAGTAATAATATAATATGTATAATAATAATAATACATATATAATAATAATATACTACATATAATAATTATAATAATAGATGGCTTCAAAAGGCCGTCACTAGATGGCATTGTTTACCACAACAAAGAGGGAGCGGTTGCGGCCGCCTCCACCTGTTACATAATTTTTTTTTTTCAACAAGTCTGCCGTCTCCCACCGAGGCAGGGTGACCCAAAAAGAAAGAAAATCCCCAAAAAGAAAATACTTTCATCAACATTCAACACTTTCACCTCACTTACACATAATCACTGTTTTTGCAGAGGTGCTCAGAACACAACAGTTTAGAAGCATATACGTATAAAGATACACACCATATCCCTCCAAACTGCTAATATCCCAAAACCCCTCCTTTAGAGTGCAGGCATTGTACTTCCCATTTCCAGGACTCAAGTCCGGCTATATAAAAATAACCGGTTTCCCTGAATCCCTTCACTAAATATTACCCTGCTCACACTCCAACAGATCATCAGGTCCCAAATACCATTCGTCTCCATTCACTCCTATCGAACACGCTCATGCACGCCTGCTGGAAGTCCAAGCCCCTCGCCCACAAAACCTCCCTTGCCCCTTCCTTCCAACCTTTTCGAGGACGACCCCTACCCCGCCTTCCTTCTCCTACAGATTTAAATGCTCTCCATGTCGTTCTACTTTAATCCATTCTCTCTAAATGACCAAACCACCTCAACAACCCCTCTTCAGCCCTCTGACTAATACTTTTATTAACTCCACACCTTCTCCTAATTTCCACACTCCAAATTTTCTGCATAATATTTACACCACACATTGCCCTTAGACAGGACATCTCCACTGCCTCCAACCGTCTCCTCGCTGCTACATTCACAACCCAAGCTTCACACCCATATAAGAGTGTTGGTACTACTATACTTTCATACATTCCCTTCTTTGCCTCCATAGATAATGTTTTTTGACTCCACATATACCTCAACGCACCACTCACCTTTTTTCTTTCATCAATTCTATGATTAACCTCTCCTTCATAAATCCATCGCCGACACATCAACTCCCAAGTATCTGAAAACATTCACTTCTTCCATACTCCTCCTCCCCAATTTGATATCCAATTTTTCTTTATCTAAATCATTTGATACCCTCATCACCTTACTCTTTTTATGTTCACTTTCAACTTTCTACCTTTCACACACTCCCAAAACACATCACTACCTTTGCAATTTTTCTTTAGAATCTCCCATAAGCACAGTATCATGAGCAAAAAGTAACTGTGTCAATTCCCATTTTGTATTTGATTCCCCATAATTTATCCCACCCCTCTCCCGAAACACCCTAGCATTTACTTCTTTTACGACCCATCTATAAATATATTAAACAACCATGGTGACATAACACATCCCTGTCTAAGACATACTTTTACCGGGAAGTAGTCTCCCTCTCTTCTACACACCCTAACCTGAGCCTCACTATCCTGATACAACTCTTTACGCATTTAGTAACTTACCACTTTTCCCCATATACACCTCCCATCCGACTTAGCCCTGCTCGACTTACGACCACTCGACTTACGACCGTGTTTTTTATGCCAAATATCTGGGAAATAAACAACTATTTGTGTTGTACACAGTGTTTATCCTAAGCCTTACAGTATAAAATACAGTACTAACAGCATAAAAAGTAAAGTAAAACATGAAATACCAAAATAAAACAATAAAATAAAGTCATTACAAAAATGTTTTACGACCATTTCGACTTACGACCAGTTTCTCGGAACCGAACTCAGTCTTAAGTTGGATGGTAGGTGTACTTGCAACATCTGCCACATTGCTCCCCTATCCACTCTATCATGTGCCTTTTCTAAATCCATAAATGCAATAAAAACTTTCCTATCTTTATCTAAATACTGTTCACATATATGTTTCAATGTAAGCACTTGATCTGCACATCCCCTACCCACTCTGAAACCTCCTTGCTCATCCGCAATCCTACATTCTGTCTTACCTCTAATTTTTTCAATAATAACCCTACCGTACACTTTTCCTGGTATACTCAATAAACTTTTTCCTCTATAATTTTTACAATCTCTTTTGTCCCCCTTCCCTTTATATAAAGGGACTTAAACATGCTTCCCCCAAAATCCTAGGTACCTTCCCCTCTTTATACATTTATTAAACAAAAGTACCAACCACTCTAACACTATATCCCCCCTGCTTTTAAATTTCTGTCATGATCCCATCAGTTCCAGCTGCTTTACCCCTTTCATTCTCCTTTAATGCCTCACGTACGTCCCCCACACTTACATTCTGCTCTTCTTCACTCCTAAAAGATGGTATACCTCCCTGTCCAGTGCATGAAATTACCCCCTCCCTTTCTTCCCAACATTTAAAAGTTCCTCAAAATATTCTCGCCATCTACCTAATACCTCCCTCTCCCCATCTATAACTCCCCTACTCTGTTTTTAACTGACAAATCCATACGTTCCCCAGGCTTTCTTACTTGTTTAATCACTCCAAAATTTTTTTTATTTTCATTTAAAATTTCTTGACAGTGCCTCTCCCACTCATCATCTGCTCTCCTTTTGCACTTTCTCACTTTCTCTCTTCACCTTTCTTTTTCTCTCCATTTTACTCTGCTCTTCTTATAAAAACTTTTGCTTTGTAAAAAACCTCTCATAAGCTAACTTTTTCTTTTTTTATCACACCCTTTATTTCATCATTCCACCAATCACTCCCCTTTCCTCCTGCCCCCACCCTCCTATAACCACAAACTTCTGCCCCACATTTTAATACTGCATTTTTAAAAAATCACCCAACCCTCTTCAACCCCCCCACTACTCATCTTTGCACTAACCCACCTTTCTGCCAATAGTCGCTTATATCTCACCTGAACTTCCTCCTCCCTTAGTTTATACACTTTCCTTTTCCCCCCTTTCTTGTTGTTGCCACCTTCCTCTTGTCCCATCTACCTTTACCTCTAACTGTAGCTAATTAAACTTAAATAATGATCTGATATATCAGTTGCCCCTCTATAAACATGTACATCCTGGAGCCTACCCATTAACCTTTTATCCCCAATACATATCTAACAAACAACTTTCATTACGTGCTACATCATACCTTGTATATTTATTTATCCTCTTTTTCATAAAATATGTATTACTTATTACCAAATATCTTTCTACACATAGCTCAATTTAAAGGCTCCCCATTTACATTTACCCCTGGCCCCCCCAAATTTACCTACTACTCCCTCCACAACATTTTTACCACTTTAGCATTGAAATCCCCAACTGCAAGTACTCTCACACTTGGTTCAAAACTCCCCACGCATTCACTCAACATTTCCCCAAATCTCTCTCTCTCCTCTACACTTCTCTCTTCTCCAGGTGCATATGCACTTACTATAACCCACTTTTCACATCTAACCTTTATTTTACTCCACATAATTCTTAAATTAATACATTCATAGTCCCTCTTTTCCTGCCATATCTTATCCTTCAACATTATTGCTACTCCTTCTTTAGCTCTAACTCTATTTGAAACCCCTGACCTAATCCCATTTATTCCTCTCCACTGAAACTCTCCCACCCCCTTCAGCTTTGTTTCACTTAAAACCAGGACATCCAGCTTCTTCTCATTCATAACATCCACAATCATCTCTTTTTTTATCATTTGCACAACATCCATGCACATTCAGACTTCCCACTTTGACAATTTTCTTCTTCTTATTCTTTTTAGTAATCTTTACAAGAAAAGGGGTTACTAGCCCATTGTTCCCGGCATTTTAGTTGACTTCTACATAATGACGTATTTTATTCATTCTAGAGTATATATCGTGTTTCTATGTTATTTATATTGTTTGTTATGTCATACTAGATGAACTGTGATAGATAAATAAGCGGTATAGATGATATTAGCGAAATTATTCATGAAGAATTTTGCCCGGTCTCCAGACAAACTCTCGTCCACCGCCGACACCGCCCATACTACTACATGAATGACATATTTTATTCATTCTAGAGTATATATCTTGTTTCTATGTTATTCATATTGTTTGTTATATCATACTAGATGAACTGTGATAGATAAATAAGCCGTATAGATATTAGTGAAATTATTCATGAAGTATTTTGCCCGGTCTCCAGACAAGCCCTTGTCCACCGCCGACACTGCCCATACCACTACATGAATGACATATTTTATTCATTTTAGAGTATATATCAGGTTTCTATGTTATTTATATTGTTTATTATGTCATATTAGATGAAGTGAGATAGATAAATAAGCCGTAGAGTTGATATTAGAGAAATTATTAAAGTACAGAATTCCACTGGAACGCATTAATTGCATTTCAGTTAATTTAAATGAGGAAAATTGATTCTGCAAACGAGCAAATCCAGTTGGGAGCAAGGTCATGGAACGGATTAAACTCGCAAGTAGAGGTTCCACTGTATATATAAAAGTGGTACCAACATTCTTATATGGGTGAGAAAAATGGGTGTGAATGTTGGAGCAAGGAGGAGACTGGAGGCTGTGATGTCATGTCTGAGGGCAATGTGTGGTGTAAATATTATGCAGAACATTTGTAGTTTGGAGATTAAGAGGAGGTGCAGAGTTACTAAAAGTATTATCCAGAGGGCTGAGGAGGGATTGTTGAGGTGTTTTGGAGATTTAGAAAAACTGGAACAAAATAGGATGCCGTGGAGGGTGTACAAATCTGTAATGGATGAAAGGCTGGGTAGGGGTCACTTTAGAAAAGAGTGGAAGGCAGGGGTAAAGGTAGTTTTGTATGCAAGGGGCTTGAACATCCAGCAGGTGTGTGTGGACATGTTAGATAGGAGTGAGTGGAGACAAATGGTTTTTATGACTTGCTGTTAGTGTGAGAACAAGCTAACATTTATGAAGGGATTCAGGGAAACTAGTTAGCAGGACTTGAGTCCTGGAAATAGGAAGTATAGTGCTTGCACTCTGAAGGAGGGGTGGGGATATTTGTAGTTTGGAAGGGCATCTGAACTGTGGTATTGGTGTGTCTGGCAAGACAGTGATAGTGTGAGTGATAGTGAAAGTATTTCTTTTTTGGGTCACCCTGCCTTGGTGGGAGATGGCTGGTATGTAAAAACACTGACAACCTAAGAAAATTTTTCGTGGTTATTGACTGTTTCCTGCTTGTACAACAATCTCATGCCTTGTGGATGGCACCAACAGTGAATACATATGGCATGCATGGCACTTACTAGCGTGTTGGCCCACTCACCAAGAATGGAAGACTCGCTTTTCAGGATTTGTTGTTGTTGTTGTGTGTGAGAATTCATGAGAAAACACTTGAACTGAGCCAGACCACGTGTTTCACCATTTGTCTAAGCTTTTCTAAAGCACTCAGTACCTTTTATCTTTGGTAAAGCGAGTCCTATAAGTCCTAGGGATAAGGATAGCTGTGGTGCAAAGGTCAAGAAGGACATTATTCTCAAAATCAGAGGAAAATTTTTTTTGGTGTGTCGGGCTAGCTAAAATCAGTGGCATAGAGCATATTGCATAAAAGAGAACCAGTTGCAGAAAGTGCTGACTGCGCAAATCCTGTTGCCTATGGTATAGTTACTCTCAGATAGTATAAGTTGCTGGAAGATTTGAAACAGCATCTCAGTGAGGATTGAGCACCAGACCTAGCAAAACTTGCCACTTAACTCATTGATTCTTTATCCCTCCACCAACATGTGCTGAAGCTGGCTTCAATGAACACCAATATAATTCTACTGAACAATGGACCCATGTCTAGTGAGTACATACTGTATATTTTTTAATTTCACCATTAAACAAAAAAATACTAGAAATGAGATGTGGAATGTTATCGTCTTGGTTCGCATATCAAAATTTGCAATTTGCTTAATGTATTTATTGGTTAATGAACCTTTTGTCTGGTTCCTATCTTGGTCGTTAAGCAGGGGTCGACTGTACTAGCACTTCTGCATTTTTTTTTTTTTTAGTACTGACAAGTTACTGCCTCATTTTCCCTGTTGCTGTTTCCAATACAATCTTCCCTAACTGGTTTTTCATATATATTTTCATAAATGTTTCTTTGGTTATCGTATCTCCTATCTGCTAAAAAGGGCATTTCTAGAGTATTTAGCAATTTTCTATAGGCCATATCATGTATTACCAATCATAACTCAAGGGAATATTTACAGCTCCAAAAACTTTTTGTACCATACTTGATCATTGCCATAAGTCGAGGGGTTGTATATGTCCAGTCCATCTTTTGATTTATAGGATTAAAACTCCTTTCTCTTTGTATCTGTTGCTTAGTTTATCATATTCAGTACATACATTTTGCCCTTTTTTCTTGTTGTATATATTGTACAGCTTCCAGCTCAATCATTGCCTGTGCCCTCTTCATTTTTTCATAATTTCTTATTAGCTCATTGATTTTGTCTTCCTTACATATTTCTTTAAGTCTGTTATTATTATTACTTTGGTATTTCTTGGTTTGTAAAATTTCAGAATTGTCTTCATTGTGTTGCTGTTACCATATCTTTGCTAAAAGCATTTGGCATTTAGGTTAAGCTTGCTTTGAATTTTTTATTTTTTTGGCTGCCTTTCAGGCACTGTTAGTAATTCTAAGAAATTATCTTTTAGGCTTTTTCTGTTGAAATAAATTACCCTTATTATTTGCTTCAGCTTGAAATTTTGTCTTGCAATAGGTATCTTCACCCAGAAGACCACTGACAGGAGCCTGTGCTAGGAAGGCCAAGGAACCAGTGGATGAGAATACTGCTTCATTTAGCTTCTTGTCGTGGTTGGGAAGTGTTACCGAGAGAATCAACCAAACGATGCATTTCGGCTTTAGTGGCAAACCTGAACCCTTGGTGTTCCACATGCCAAAGATATTTTTTGATTGCCTAATGGAGAGAATAAATGCAAGATCAAAAAAGAAAAGACTGCCAAATCAAACACAGCAGTTTATAAGGAAAGATGCTGTTCCTTTAGGAAAATTTACAAAATACACTTGGAAAATTATAAGTGACCTGCATGTGCGTCAAATATTTGATATTCCTCACATGCCCTTGGAAATAACTCGCAGTTTCATTCAAAACCGTGATGGTACATACAAGTTATTTCATCACCGTGATGAGGATTCCATTTATGCCAAGGGCAGCCCCAGCCAACCACTGCTGAGGCCACAAGAATACAAAACAAGACTTCGTGTGGGCACATCTTCACCAGGACAAAAGGAACCAACACCTTTTACTATTGAATGGATACCTGACATTCTTCCACAGTCTTATATAGGTGAGTTACGAATAAAGTTTGAATTTGACCACTTGCATAATGGTCAGCTACTTACAACCAGAGAATCTCGTGGTGCTATGTCAGGTCAGTCCATATCAACAGTTCGAAGCCATGGCCCTCTCCTGGCCCCAAGACCTCAGCCACAACAGACACAGCAGACACCACAGGCAACACAACAGATTTCAGCAACAGAGCATATTATTAGCATACCAATAACCTCAGATGGTATGCAGTCTACTGAGAATATGGCAACTATTCTTACTTTTTGAACAATAATATGTCTAGTCAAATTATTTATATATCCAAGATGGCAGCATCTAGCATCCATGAGATGTGACTGTTAGGTGAGCACTGACTAGGTGAAAACTATTTTTTGTTATTAGAAGTTTTGAAGACGTTATTGTAATTTTACAACCATAGTTTAAATGGGCTTGTGAAGCTTTGTTAAAAAATAGTCAATAGTGAGATATTAAAGTACTGTATAGTGTTGAAAACCTTATATTTTTTCCTATGGAAAAAGTTTTCTAATTTTATTTACATAGATTATGTACAGTTGGAAAAATTCTTGAAAATATTTATTAATTAGAAAATAAACATGTTCTTTAATTACTGTTTTATACTTCAGAAGTGAGAGACAGACCTTTAACAAAAGACTCCCAAGTCACTGAACACTTTATTAATATCTTACAAATAGATTAACTCTTGTAAACTCTCTTTTATGAACTTAATTGCAATGTAATTCCTCAAAGTTCTTTTTATATACAATATACCTGGTTAGTCCTTTCAGCTTCCTTGCAGTTTTCCCTGGACATACTGCCATTCATCTCTCATAATACATATAACACTTCTCTTGTCTATCACCTCATCTTCACACATGATCATACCACCATAATAGTGGAACCTCAGTCCTCGAACTTAATTTGTTACAGAAGGTTGTTCAAGTACTGAATGAATTTTTCCCAACCAATTTTGTTTTTGGTTGGCTGTTATCACTAATCTTCATAAGCCCCATGGTGATTTATTTATACAAATAATATAAAAAAAACACCAAAAAATGCGAAGAAACACGAAATAGTTTACAGTGAAGTTTTGGCAGGTCATATTTGTTTGGTCGAGTGCTGAGCAGTCAGCTGCCGAGTGATTTTTTTTACTGAACAAAGCATTTGAATACCGAATTGTTCGAGTAGGGAACTGCTCAAGTTCCAAGGTTCCATTGTATTTCATTACCATTAATTTTTACCAGATCGGCTACTTCTCACTGAAGTAAGGTGACCCAATGAAAGCAATACATTTCATTATTTTTAAATATAGATCTAGAAAATTTTATTCTGTGTCCGGGGACATTGCCTTTTTCTACATTACGAGAAATTTAGTTTCTGGTCCAATTCTTTTATTTTTTCTCATCTATGAAATATGATTTATTGTGCTCTGACAGACCTCCCCCCCTAACCCCCCCCCCCTTTGGAGGTTTTGCTTTCATCAATACCTTACATTTTTTTTTCCCTATATCGCTTTTTGCACTTTAAACTATTGGCCCCTTAAACCCTGCATTTTAAACCTTTTTCCATTTAATTGAAACCCCCCTTAAATGTTGGTTTGCCATTTAAAAAAATGTTTTTTTTTTTTTAAATTTTTTTTTTTTTTTTTTGCTTTAAAGTTTACCTTGTTTGATTTTTTGCTTGTTAAAAGTAGTCTGTTCAGTGTCTTAATGTTGTGAAGGGGTGTGCCTTTTTATTAAGTAGCAGTATTGGGGGGTTTTGGCTAATTTTGATGGCTTGGGCCAAAAATTTGGATAAGTTTTTTTACTGCAAAGTTTTGGTTCCCCCTACCCCGTATGGGCACTTTTCTTAAAAAAAAAAATTAATTTTTTGGTTTTTTTAGCCAGTTTATCAAAAAACTGTTATTTCATGGCTTGGTGGTCACCTCCACTTCCCCTATTTTGGGACCGGCTTAAAAAATTAAAGAGGAATATCAGCGGGAGAAATTTTTCACAGGTAATAGCAAAAATGTATACCGAAATAAGTAAGTTGTAATTTTTACCTTCTATCTTTAGAAAAAGAGGACCAGGGGTCTTTTTTGATTGCAAAATTTTCAGGAGGGGCGTAATTCCAAAACCCTTTCAGGGCCCGTCCCGTAGATCTACGGGGTGGGTGAGTGCCCAAACCGTGATCTACGCCAAAAAATCAGCCCCGTAAAATTTAGCGCGGAAAGGTCATGGGGCACAATGAAAAATGGGTCTGCGCGGTGGGTGTGGCCGAAAAAAAAAAATCTAGGCGCCTGCATACTTTGTGGGAACCCCGGCTCGTCACCCTTGTTCACCTGTCTCCGGGCAAGTCAGCTTGACCCCCCGGGAAAATTGGGACTCCCCTTTCCTTCTGATAGTTCTGAAATGTGGTGAAATAAAGAAAATTTTTCTACGGTTTTGATGATTTTAGGCCCGAAAATAATGACCAGGATATCGATAATATGCGAAAACCCGACGATCCTCCCCCTTCTTTTCCTTGGGGGTGGGCACCGGACCCCGGGTGGTTGTTCCTAAACGTAAAGAAAAAAAAATTTTCCCGGGGGCGGCCTCTGACTTCAGAATGACGATGATTCTGCTGGTTTGTGATTTATTGCGCTCGACGATCATTCGAGTAGTGTTTTAGGAGGAAACTTTTTCCCCGGTGAAGCTCGGTATGTGCGCCGCCGCATGCCTGGGGTAGTGTACCCTTGCTATGCCCAGGGGACGGGAAAAACATTATTTCTCCCGGAGTCCCTCCCGTGGCCCTACCCCCTTTTTGGTAGTATAGTGAATGGGTGGCTACACTTGGAAGGTGGGCCACAAAAATCATGGTGGTGTTAGGGGGGGGGGGTGGTAGTGGCCCCGCCATGCTGCCCTGTGCCGCGGGAACCCACGCTGCTGATCGTCAGTTAAAAGACAAAGGGAGCGCCCCCACCACCCCCACAACCCCCGTAAAACCAGCCTATGATGTCCAGTATCCACCAGAAACCGTATCTGGATTGGCAGCAAAATCCCAATTTTGTTCCCACCCCCCCCATTTTGATGACTCCAAAGGGGAATTTCCCTACCTTTCCCCCTTGGAACCAGGGCCAAAAAACGGGAATTCTTTGAATTATTTTTGACCAGCCATTGATGGAAAATATTGTCAGGGAAAGTAAAAAGTTTTTTCGTACACCATGGCAAATACGATTTTAAATCACCACAGTCAGATAACAGGGGGAAAGAGACACTTGCAGAAATGTTTTTGCTTTTTGCAACAAAAATGCTTTTGCCATCTTAAGCTAAAAATTTAAAACTACTGGTCCACAGATGGAATTTTCCCCCATCCTTCAGTAAAAATAATACCAGTAAAACGGTTTTATCTTCCCTTTAGATTTTTGCATTCTCTGACAAAACCGGGCCTGACGAATGACGGGTTTACAAGATTAAATGTTTTCATGTATCTCAAAAAAATTTAAGGAATCTTTTATCCATTAAAGAATTTTGAAAAGACGAGTCTTTGATTTTGTTCAAAAGGTAGCGTTTCAACTATACCCCGAGCAAGGGGACCGCTTTGGTATAAAATTGTTTGTCTCTGTGTTGTGACGGGGGCCTGGTGTTGGTTTTTGTTAAAGGGTAGTAAACATTGAAAGATACCAAAGTTTTTATTGGGTTTTCAGGTGAGTAGTGAAAACATGATGGACCTTATCTTGGAAAGGGGCCATACTTTATATACGATAACTGGTACACAAGCCCATTTACCAGTGATTTCATGCGAGTAAACAAGCAGATGGTGTGGCACAGTGCGTTTAATGTAAACATATGCCCAGGCTAAACGCAGGTGTTCGTGTTGGTGCGGTGTTTACTCCCAATGACATCATGGCATTACGGTGGATGAAAACAAAATGTCACATTGTTGACAAACATTCCCCCGTAATGAAGCAAGCAGTGGCAAAGTTATCGAGTGACTAATGAACGTATTCGAAAAACCATGACATGATTGTTATACAAAAACAGCGTTTGGTTGAAAATGGGGACATGCAGTTTGGGTTTTTGTTGACTGTGTTGTAAGAGTTACAAGTGGAAATAAAAACTTTTTTTCCATCCTGGCATTTCAATGCTAAATGCATATAATATTACCAAATAAAGACGGTTTAAGACCCCCGTAGGGTAAATTTTTTTGTTTTGCTTTGTAGAAATCTAAAAAAAGTACCGGGTAACAACACCTAATCAACAGGTCCTCAAAATTCACAATATCCCCAAGCGTTTGAGAAGAGAAGGTGACTTTTCATAAACGCTTTTTAAAACTCAAAAAAAAATTTGCTCAAAGAGATGATGTCGTGCACAAACAAAACGAGGGAAACAAAGAGAAAAGACACTGGGTTTTATTGTGGGAAATGTAAGGTGCCTCTGTGCATGGTCCCTTTGTTTCAAGGAGTTCCAAAGCTCCAGCAGTTCAAAAACCATGTCCAGTGATTGTAAATATGAAAATATAGATAGAACTTTAGTATTATACAATTTTGTGCTGTTTATTGTAATAAACAACAGTGGTAAAAAAAAATATGTAAAAATTTAGTGCGGTTATTGTGTTCATTCAGGGGAGTTTTTATAAATTAATACAGTTTTGGGTTCTCAGGCCCAAATGAGTAGGAATAAAAAAAAATTTGGGAAAAAAAAAGAAAAAACAACTAAAAAAAAAAAAATAATAAAATACGCTATTTGGAATTCGTCGATGTTGCCGCCACAAATCATTTCTAAAAAACTTTTTGGGCACGTTCTCGGAAAGTATGATAAGATTCTAATTTTTTTGTTTTATTCCCTTCACAAAAAATGCTTTTTAATTCTGTAAGAAAAAAATTTTTTTTTTTTTTTTAAAAATTTTTTGGGACACTGGTGCGGCTTCGATTTTGGCCTTGGACCCTAAAAGGGTTAATGACTGTGTCTCCCAACTTTTGAAGATGTTTGTTTTTAAATGAGATTTTTTGGTAGGGATGGAATGAACATTGCCTTTTTTACCAGTGACCGGGCTTTTTTGCCTTATACTACGCTGTGTTCGGGCTCTCCCCTAAAATTTAGGTAAAAGAAAAAATATAAGTAATTTTAAGAGTATGTTAAAAGATTTTTTTTTTGAGAGATACAGTATGTTAAAGGTGTACAACTGCAAAAAAAAAAATTTTTGTTGAAAACAGGAGCATTCAAATAAGAGATGCTATCCCAATGATCTTTTTTGGTAATATGCTAAAATAACTATATTTTTTTTTTTTTTTTTTTTTTTTCACCCCGGGCGACTCCCACAAGGAGGGTGGCCCGAAAAAGAAAAACTTTTCCCCACTTTTCACCCCACACTGTCTTGCCAAAAGGGGGTGCTTTAACTACGTTTTTTAAACGCAAATTAACACCCCTCCTTCAGAGTGCAGGCACGTTTTTCCCTCTCCGGGACTCAAGTCCGGCCTCCGGTTTCCCTGAACCCCTTTCAAAAATTTACTTTGCTCACACTCCAACAGCCGTCAAGTATTAAAAAAAACCATTTTGTCTCCATTCACCCCTATAAAACACGCTCAAGCATCCCTGCTGGAATCCAAGCCCCTCGCACAAAAAACCCTCCTTTCCCCCCCCCCTCCAACCCCCCTAGGCCGACCCCTACCCCGCCTTCCTTTTCCATACAGACTGATCACTCTTGAATCATTCGTTTCGCTCCATTCTCTACTGTCCAAACCACCTCAACAACCCTTCCCGCCCTTGGACAACAGTTTGGTAACCCCGAACCTCCCCCTAATTTCCCCAAACTACGAATTCTCTGCATTTTTTACACCACAATTGCCCTCAGACTGCCATTCCACTCCTCCAGCCTTCCCCCGCGCAACTTCACCCCCACGCTCCCCCCCCATATAAGATTTGGTAAAACTAAACTCTCATACATTCCCCCCTTTTCCTCCAAGGGGCAAAATTTTTTGTCTCCACAGATCCTAAGTGCCACTCACTCTTTTTTCCCCCTCAATTTTATGATTCCTCATCTTTCATAGACCCATCCCCTGACACGTCCACTCCCAAATATCTGAATTGTTCCCTCTCCCTACTCTTCCCCCAATTGATATTTAATCTTTATCCCTTTCTTTTTGTTTTCCCCATAAACTTATCTTTCCTGATTCACCCTTTTAATTTCTTCTTTTTCACACCCTACAAATTCATCACCCCAAATTTTGCAAATCTCCAGAATTCCCAAGAGCACAGGTCATCACAAAGGCAGCTGTGCAACTCCCCTTTGTGTGTGATTCTTTCTTTTAAAATCACGCCTCTTGCCA